ATATATATATATATATATATATATATATATATATATATATATTCCAAAGTTTCTGTAGTGATTCCTTTTATTGAACTTTTAAAAAATTTTATTTATTTATTTATTTATTGCAATTATTTATATTGTATTCCTGCTTCAGACCCCTTCCTTGTCTTCTCCCATCCCCTCCCTACCTTCCTCTTCTCCCCCTATGTCCTTTCCCTAGTTCCCTGATAGGGGAGGACCTCCTCCACTTCTATCTGACCCTAGCCTCTCAGGTCTCATCAGGACTGGTTGCATTGTCTTCCTCTGTGGTTCGTCAAGGCTGCACTCCATCAGGCGGCTAGGATCAGAGAGCCTGTCACTGAGTTCATGCCCGAGACAGCTCTTGCACCTCCTACTAAGGAACCCATTTGGAAACTGTAATAATTTCTTAATCTATTTAATCAAGTGACAGAACAGAAACATATTTAAATTTCTAATGTAGATAACATCAACATTTGGCATTTTAAATTTTGATTGAAATTCTTACTGAAAATCGCAAGTGTACAGAAGTTATTAAAACTCATACATGATTTTTTATTTTTATTTTTTTAATATTAGTTACAGTTTATTAATTTTGTATCCCATCTGTATCCCATTCTCTCATTCCTTCTCAATCCAACCTTCCCTCCCTCATCTCCTCCCTGCCTCTTTCCAAGTCCACTGATAGGGGAGGACCTCCTCCCCTTTCATCTGACCCTGGTTTAAAGGATAAAAATATGCTTTGTAGTGCTATTATGGTAGGTGAGTTTGTGAGTTGTAGAAGGATTCAAGGGAAAATATTGCTGACTATATTTTGTATTTAGAACAGAAAAAGAACCAAGGAGATGAAAACCTTTCCCTTATTGAGCATATATTTTTGAAAGAGAATCAATGCTCAAACTATGTTTAAAATGATATCATTATATCGTACAATTATTTTAAACCAAAAGAATAAATTCATAAAAGCTATATTAAAAACTATATTCCAGATCCTTTACATCAGCTCCCTGTTTACTCATCTTTATCTTAACTTAAAACTATGTGTACTAATGAAATCTATACACCTAAAAAAAGATTATCAAGAGAGCAGACATGGGGTAAGATGATCAATCCTCATTTAGAAAGACAGATGGGATGTGCATTGAATGTATGACAGGAGTCAATTGAGCGCATCTGAAAGACTCTAACTAGCAGTGTTTTCAAAGCAGATACAAAGACTCATGACCAAACCTTTGGCAGAGTACAAGGAATCATATGAAAGAAGGGGAGTTAGTCTGATGGGGAAAGGATAGGAGCTCCAGAAGGACCAAATGTATCTGGGCACAGGGTCTTTGCAGAGACTGACATTCAGCCAAGGACCATGTATTGATATAACCTAGAACCTCTGCTCAAATGTAGCCTGTGGTAGCTCAGTAACCAATTGGTTTCCCATATTGAGGGGAACAAAGACTATTTCTAACAGGAACTCAATGACTGGCTCTTTGACCTCCCCACCCCCAAGGGAGGAGCAGTCCTGTTAGGCCACAGAGGAGGGCTTTGCAGCCAGTCCTGATGATACCTGATAAAACAGGATCGGATGAATTTGGAGGAGGTCCCCCCTATCAGTTTACTTGGAAAGGGGCAGGGTGGAGATGAGGGAGAGGGTGGGATTGGGAGGGAATGAGGGAGCAGGACACGGCTGGGATACAGAGTTAATAAAATGTAACTGATAAGAAAAAAATAAAAATAAAAAACTAGGTGTACAAGTAACAATTTTATTTAAAATAAGCATTAATTACTTTAACTTACCTATTTCAGTTTCTCAGACAAAGGCTTTTAAGTACATTATCTTTCTAAATATAAAAGCAAAATGAGTCATAGTGTACACCACACTTCATGCTTAAGTAATTTAAAAACACCCTCATAAAATTATACCTTTATAAGCACTCCAAATCCTTCTGCATCTCATCGACAAATAAAACAGTTTCTGCTCCTCATTGGCAATGCAACATATGCTAGTCAGCTTCACAAGTGACACGACTTATAGACGATGGAAAAGCGATTAATAGTAGACGAGTAATCAGGACAAAGTTAATTTTGTTGTAGGACAGTAAAACTGATTAGCAAAAATGCAAATCTGACACTTTTAAATAAAAAATAATAATAAAAGTTTCAAGAAATGTGATTCTGTATTGGCATGTCCAGCTGCTGCTTCCTGCTTATGCTAGGTTCTCACTGCTGCCTTAGACACAATAATTCAACATTGGGAACTGTTTCCTAATGACACCATCCTTTGAGCAATACCCTAATAGATCATGGGCTGATGATGTTCATTAATGATGAATCACACTAATGTATCATTTTCCCTGTCACACAGGTGTTTTATCAGATTCATTTAATCGGAGCAATGACCTGTGATGATGATGCATGGCTTAAGGATAATGCAATTCAAAAAGAAATGAAATTCGGAATTAAACCTGTTTTTAGGAGCTGTGGGGCTCCATTGGAAAACTTTATAGAAACAACAAGTATGAATGGGAAATGTATTGAAATATCAGGCATATATTCTGTTATTGATAGATAACAGCACTTAACATCTCATATTTGTACTTAAATCAGATTTAAATACACAAAATAATCCTATAATAATAACTATAGGGTTCTTACAAATGTATAACTGTATCTTATATCTAGAATAAAAAGTATTAAACTTAAAAAAGTATATTTTAAAATTAAAGTAATCTGGATTTGCTCTTTTTCATACTTAAGTGAAATTACTAAATTCAATAATTCATTTTTGTTTATTATTTCTTAAATTGTACATTAAACAAACTATACATCTCATTATTCATACACAACAAAAGAAAAGAGATTGCTATAATTTTGGGGTCAATGGAAAGGGATTTTTACAATTTTATGTATACATGAACAAGATAATTTATGAAAAATATCATTTATGAAAAATTATATTTTGTCTCAGTATAGGTGAATAAAATTTTTAATATCATTAGACAAAAAATTTTATTAGAGCATTTATGGTAATAATGAAAAATGTTAACTGGAGCTTATTATTTCAATTATAATGTTGAATCTCAATTAGTATTCTATTAAATTACCTTTATGCGATTATTATCTACATGATATTAAAGACATCATTGAGGGCATATTTAATCATGTATTGTGTAATTTTCTTTTATAAATTTTGCCTTTCTTTTCTTTAAATTGTTAGCAACTACTTGCCATAGCAGTTAAACAAACTTGTCCTTTCCTACCTCAACCATATTCAGATTTATACTATGTTTAGCTTCAGAAGAAAAAAAGTTGGATTGAGGTTAATAGTGACACTCTGCCACAAATTAAAACCAATAATAATCTTCCTTGGAGTTGCTTTGCTGTGAGTAATGTATGCACTGGGACTGAACGGAAACCTCACGGCACAAAATTATGGAGGGAGATTAGTTTCCCTTATGTTGCAGCAGGGATGAGAATCAACAGCAAAAGGTGTGTTGCTGATACAACAGTGTCTCCTTCAGGTGTGGAAGAAGTAAAGGATTTTGGAAGAATACATTCCCAAGGATATTTTCCTTTTTTGAATGCATAGAGAATAAAGGAGAAGTGCACAGCTGTTAAGAGGAATATGGACTCCTGAGTATAAGCCATTTTACTCAGTGATTCAGAAAAACATGATGAGAAGATTGAGTGAGAATAGTGTGATAGACATATCAATAGTGTAAAGGAGAACAGATTGTATTTTTTTATTAT